GAAAAAAAAAATTAAAAAAAAAAAAAAGAAAAGAGGCCAAATGCCAGAGTACACACTGGCTGGTTCCACATATATGTAATCAAAACCACACTTTAACTGTTAGAAGTCAGGAGAGTGACCTGCCTTCGAGGGTCGGGGAGCGAGTGGGAGGGAGCCAATGTGAAGCTGGTGGGTTCTCTCTACTAACCTGGGTGCTGATGAGGTGGGGGTGATCCTTTTGACACAATTCATCAAGCAACAAACTTGTTCATTTTTCAGGATGTTATGTTGTACTTGAATGAAACACTTAAAATGTAAAGGAAAAGGACAGAGAAGGAAGTAAAAAATGTGATTTTAAGTCTATGTCGTAAGAAGGGAAATTTTGCCACTGACCTTTTCATTTTACCTTCAAAAGTAGTCACACTGAAGAGTTCAGTGTGTGTCCACGTGATAGCCTTTTCACTTTGAAATGGGTCCCCTTGCTAAGAAACATCGACAGCATGGTGGTGAAGCCACCCTCACTGCCCTGGGTGGGAGCTGCCCTAGAACCTGCAGAGCACCACCCGCCCGCCAGCTGTCTAACGCACTCATGCATTGGACAAGGAAACGAAACAGCTTCTCCTCCTTCAATAAGAGCCTAGACAGGCAGCACCTTGCAGATGTGTTTCCCTAGTCCCTAGAGCCCAGGTCAAGACTTGGCATATGCTTCCCACCATGTCTTGTGACTCCTTTTTTATGGATAAGGACATTAAAGGTCACACCATTAGTCAGTATGTGACAGAGGCAGGGCTTGAAATTTTAGCTAAAGAGGGAAAGGAAAGATGAGTACATATGTACAGATGGGAGAGATAGGCAAATAGACACTGAGGGCAGCCTCCTTAATCCCTCAGATGCAGGTGCAGGGCCTGGGAGGCTGGAGCACATGCCCTGCCCACTCTCTCCACCCTTTTGTGGTGAGATGGGGCTGCGGTCTGAGGCCTCAGCTTCATGGGTTCCATGATCTGGAATAAGCCACTCTCAATCAGTTGGCTTTTCTGACGTGTAATTAAAGGAGGGGACTTCTCAGCTCAGCCCCTCCTGCTCTGATGATCTATGAGGAAAAGGACCAGGTGCCATGGATATGACAAACCAAGAGTAAATGTCACATTCTGGAAGCTGAATTCCCAGTTGGAAAACGAGTGAGGATTGTTTCTCTAGGGAGAAAGGGACAAGATGCATCACCAGCTTGGGGTGCTTTGGAGCTCAGCCAGCCCTGGCTTGTTCTACTTGCCCACTTGGCATACATCACATGGAAATTTCAGTTCTTCCAGAGGTCAGGAGGGGGTTGTTTCCCTTCCAGAGATGGGAGGTTGAACCCTAGCAGGATCACCTCATGGTTAAGCTGTGGATTCAAGGATCGGAATTCCTGCACACCTCATACTAGCTGTGAGGCAATATGTCACAAGAAGTCACTTACCCCGTCCCCTAGAGCCTCAGATTTTAAGTTATAAAAGGGAATAGGAAAAGTCCCCACTTCAGGGTTGTTTTAAGGATTAACTGAAGTGGTGATAGTGACAAGTCTTACCTGGAACATTCATTCTCAATGGTACGCCCAAAGGAATAAAAAATAGTTGTGGCGGGGGGGGGGGATCTAGCTCTTTTTATGTATAAGGCACAATATAGATACAGTACACACAAAAATATACAGTATAACTGCAGTATCATGGGGTTACCACACAAAAACATATGCATGAGGAACTCTCATACATCATCACTAGTAGGAATGTAAAATGATGCGACCCCTGTGGAAAATCCTTTGGTGGTTCCTCAATAAATTAAGCATACAGTTACCACAGGACCCAGCAACTGCATCCTAAGTATGTGCCCAAGAAAATTGAAGACAGGTTTTGAAACAAAAACTTGTAAATGAATGTTTATTCACAATAGCACAAAGGTGGAAATAACTCAAATGTCCATCAGCTTATGAATGGATAGGACATAATATGATCTAGACACGGAAGGGAATGTTATTCAGCCATAAAAAGGAATGATGTCCTGATTCATGCCACCACATAGATGAACCTTGAAAACGTTATGCTGAATGAAGGCAGTCAGACACAAAACATCATATATTGAATAACTCCCCATTTCTATGAAATGTCCAGAATAAGCAAATCCACAGAAATGGAAAGTAGATTAGTGGTTGCCAGGGGCTGGAGAGTTGAGGAGGCTGGGGCGGGGGTGGTGGGCAATGGGGAGTGACCACTAATGGTTACAGGTTTCTTTGGGGGAGGGGGCGGAAGGAAAATATTTCAGAATCAGACAGAATCAGACAGTGGTTGAGCAACCTTGTGAATATACTTTAAAAGACACTGCTGAATTGTACACTTTAAAAGGGCGAATTTTATGGTATGTGAATTATATCTCAATAAAGCTGTCGTTTTTAAATGTTCAGGAAAAAATGTATAAAAAGGCTGGCGGGGGTGGGGGAAGGAAGGACAAGAATGAAATTAAGTGGTTGGCCTACAGCATGCCCACGGAGACCATCAAGATGCACATTTTGGTGATGGTATTTTTATTATTTTTACAGATCTGTAATCTGTTAACTGCAGCCCTTGGGGCCAGATATGTTTCTAACTTCAGAATTTTTTGGACTTTAACATTATTACGGTGCACATCACGTAACCATCCAGCAAGGTTCAGGATAGCACCTAGTAAATGAACATTAAAATTCCCACAGGAAAACAGATGTGCTTTCACACTGAATGAGCTAATAAGGGCTGAGGGTCTTCACTGTCCAATACAGAAGCCACATGTGATTGCTTGGCTCTTGAAATGAAGCTAGCCTGAGTTGAAATGTGCCTCGAGTGTAAAATGCCAGATTTCAAAGACTTAATTTGAGAAAACTGATATTTTTAAAAATGTTACAAGGTTGATCATGTTTATATTGATTATAAGTTGAAATCATGTTTTGGATCCATTGGCTCAAATTAAATAGATCATTAAAATTCATTTCACCTGCTTTTCTTTACCTTTTTTTTTTTTTAAGTTTATTTATTAATCTTGAGAGAGAGAACATGAGGGCGGGGCAGAGAGAGAGAGGGAGACAGAGAATCCCAAGCAGGCTCCACGCTGTCAATGCAGAGCCTGACGTGGGGCTCAAACTCATGAACCATGACCTGAGCCAAAACCAAGAGTCTGACACTCAGCTGGCTGAGCCACCCAGGTACACATTCTCTCTTTTTTTTTTAATTTTTTAACGTTTATTTATTATTGACAGACAGAGATAGACAGAGCATGAGCATGGGAGGGGCAGAGAGAGAGGGAGGGAGACAGAATCTGAAGCAGGCTCCAGGCTCCAAGCTGTCAGCAGTCAGCACAGAGCCTGACACTCACAAAGCACAGAGCTTGAACTCACAAACCAGGAGATCATGATGTGAGCTGAAGTCTGATGCTTTACCGACTGAACCACCCAGGCACCCCCTCTATTTTTCTTTAAATGTGATCATCTAGGAAATTTTTTCAGTACCCATGTGCTCTGTCTTTGCAGCTCATATTCTGTTTCTAGTGGCCAGGCAGGCAGGCACTGCCCTAGGGAGGCTTCTGTCTCTTCTGGGCAGATGTGCAGTCAAACAAGCTTATTCCAAACTTATTTTAAAAAAGAAAAAAAGTGGGGTACCTGGGTGGCTGAGTCGGTTAAGCATCCAACTTCAGCTCAGGTCATGATCTCCGTATTTGTGCGTTTGAGCCCCGTGTCAGGCTCTGTGCTGACTGCTGACAGCTCGGAGCCTGGAGCCTGCTTCAGATTCTGTCTCCCTCCCTCTCTCTGCCCCTTCCCCCCCCCCCCACGCTGTCTCTCACTCTCACAAATAAAATAAACACTAAAAAAAAAAAAATCCTTTGCGTTTCAGTGCTTTTTGATATCTAGAGTGTAAGTTCAATTGGGGGATCCAAAATGTAGACCACAAGCCTGGGGAATCAGGACTGAGAAGGAAAGGGTGGGAAGTTACAGCTCTAGCTGGCTCCATTCCAGGGCTGGCCTGCTCCCCACTGCCCCATCCCCCACCCCCTGGCAATCAGACCCCTGCAGCTGCCCCTCCCAGACACCTCTGCCAGGCCAGCCCAGCCTGCTGGGTCAGCCGGGCCTGCCACTCGTCTGCAGCGTTGCAGGGGAGGGGCAAGGAGGAAGGGGCTGGAGGAGGGTACGTGGGGGCGGGCCACCCCACGGCTGAAGCACTGCACCAGACTCAGGCAGAGGGCCAGCCATGTCCAGCCCAGGGCTCCTGCTCCTGCTCTTGCTGCTGTCAGCGTCACCACCGCTGCGACCCTCCTCGCTGGCACCGCCGGAAACCCCAGAAGGCAAAGCCACCATCACAGGCCTCATCCTCTCCGCGCTGGAGAGAGCCATTTCCTTCCTGGAGAAGAGGCTGCCTGAAATCAACCTGGATGGCGTGGTGGGGTTCCGGGTGCTGGAAGGTAGGTGCACTCTTGTTATCCTAGACTGACCCCTGGAATACCAGCCTGTCACCTCTCTGCTCTGTACCTCTGGGACCTGACCACTTCCTGGCCACTGAAGTATCCTGCTCTAACTATAAGGAAAGAAGGGCTGGGCAGCTTGCTCCTTTTAGGTGTCTTGGGGCCCTGCTCTACTCAATTATTTTGGAAGCAAGAAGGATTCAGAGGCCACATGAGAAAAGATTGGGAACTTATTGTTTTCCCAGGAGGAAATGATTCATGTGACAACCCCTCTCCTGATACACCATGAACCAGGTGGGCAGAGGGAGGGTGCCCTTTCAAGAGGCATGTATGGGAGGGTGCCTGTGAACAAAGCCAGGAACTCTCAAGATCAGGTTCCAACTCCACTCCCCCTACTTCTAGCCAAAGCCATCTGAAGCCTCCCCAAAAATGCCAAGTGTTTGTTCAGCTTTCAGGGATGTAAGATCCTTGTGGAGGGAGCTGGTGACAGGCCAATGCAAGCAAGGAGCCACTCCACACTCACTTCGAGTTGCAGGAAGCCCCTCTAAGAAGGCCACCTTGACCTAAGTGACAGAGCTGACTTGGAATCAGCCTGGGGCTCTGGCTGGCCCCCCTTTCACACCACCCTCCTCTGGGTGGCCAGTGCAACTTGCCACCCACCACCCACCCAGCCTCCAGGTCCCAGTGGAAGGAGGGGCTCCCAGACAGGTCTGCTTCCATGCCTGGCGCCCCAGTGTCCTCCCCACACCCTTGACCCCCCATGTGGCATCCTGGAGACCCCTAAGATCCAAGATCCTCTCAGGCTAGGACCAGGGTCTCCATTTAATCCCAGGCACACCCTGTAACACCTCTAGAAATGAATTATAGTAATAAACCACAGAGCTGGCTACCGCATTAGGCACAGAATACTTTCAGGGATCCAGGAAAATGTTTTCGTTTCTCTTTTAGTCAGAAGGAATAAAAATGAACTTTTAGGTCAAAAAGAATGCTGTAATATATAACATAAACATATCTGTCTTTATACTAATGCAGTTGCAAGACATAACCTTTTTTTTTAATGTTTTATTTATTTTTGAGAGAGAGAGACAGAGACAGAGACAGAGTGCGAGTAGGGGAGGGGCAGAGAGAATGGGAGACACAGAATCTGAAGCAGGCTCCAGGCTCTGAGCTGTCAGCACAGAGCCTGATGCAGAGCTTGAACTCATGAACAATGAGATCATGACCCGAGACAAAGTTGGGCACTTAACCGACTGAGTCAGCCAGGTGCCCCGTAAGAGATAACATTTAATCTATTTTTTTAATCTTTTTTAATGTTTATTTTTTAGAGAGCATGAGGAGGGGTGGGGCAGAGAGCGAAGGGGACAGAGGATCCGAAGTGGGCTCCAGGCTCTGCACTGACAGCAGAGAGCCCAATGTGGGGCTTGAACTCACGAACCACAAGACCATGACGTGAGCTGAAGTCCGACATTCAATCGATTGAGCACTCAGGTGCCGCCAATCTATTTTTTTAATAAAGGAAGGAACCCACAAAGCCATAGCATGTGGCCCGGCAAACATGCCTTGGATGTTACCTGGGTACCCGCTGTAATCCCCAAACGCCCAGAGCTGGCAGTGCTTTGTTTTGTTCTTTCAGCACGTGGGGACTCTGAGGCACAGAGAGGTTCAGTAGACTCCTTATTCCTCACAGCTGATAAGCAGGGGGTCTAGTATTCAAATCTAACTGCTCTAACAGCCCTTGAGGGCAGGGTGGGCACCCACTGACTTTCCTGACCACCCTGTTGGTGAAACACAGCACTGGGCTCCCTCTGAGCAGTGGTTGAATAAACATTCCTGAAACAAGGCAACAGACCTTTGTCAATAATAGTCCCATGGGTCTGTCAGTTCCTTATGAAGAGAGAAGGGAGGGGCAGGTGATTCCCTTGATGGAGTGCTTTCTGGGGTCCGTGAGATAATAAAAGATAAGGTTCACTAAGTACCCCCCAAGCCCTGGCATAATGTAAATGTTTGCATGGGGTAATTCACTGACCCCACATAACCCTTGAAGTAAGTTCATTATGATTATCCTCTTTTTACCAATGAGGGGACAGACTTTAGAGAAGGGGTCCTTGGGTGGCTCAGTTGGTTGAGCATCTAACTCTTGATTTTGGCTCAGGGCATGATGTCAGGGTCATGGATCAAGCCCCACGTTGGGCTCTGCACTGGCCATGGTGCCTGCTTAGGATTCTCTCTCTCTCTCTCTCTCTCTCTCTCTCTCTCTCTCTCTCTCTCTCTCTCTCTCTCTCTCTCTCTCTCTCTCTCCCCCTCTCCCATGCTCACTTGCTCTCTCTCAAAAGAGAGAGAGAGAGAATGTCCAAGTTCACATAGCAAGTAAGGTCACATACTGAATAAGTGTAGGAGGCAGGCTTAGAACCCTGCTCTGACTGAGCTCCCATTCTCTGAACAATTACAGGGTAGAGGTGGCTGGGAAGGAGGGAGGTGATGGCCCGCACCAACACCACACAACAGCCTCAGACCAGGGCCACCCCCTCCTCCTTTCTCTCCTCTCCACAACTTTGCCCTTTCCTTTTACAGTAACCTACTGATGCCTAACAAATTATCCCCGAACTTAACTGCATAAAACAACATAACAGTTACCGTGTCACCATTTCTGTCAGGAATCTGCAAACAGTTTGGGTGGTTCTGGCTCAGGTCTCACATGAAGTTGGAGTCAAGATGTCAGCCAAGGCTGTGATCATCTGAAGGCTTGAGTGGGACAGGAGGAACCACCCCTGTTCACTCCCAGGCTTGGCAAGTTAGTGCTGGCAGGTGGCTGGAGGTCTCAGTTCCTCACCACGTGGACCTTCCCATAGGGCTGCTTGGGTGCCCTCACAACATGGCAGCCGGCTTCCCTGAGAACAAGGGGCCTCACAGAGAGCAAGACAGAAGCCTCAATGTCTTTACAACCAAGCCTTGGAGGTCACACACCATTTCCCCAATTTCTTATTGGTTTCAAGGGTCAGCCCATACAATGCAGGAAGGGCTTGAAAGGGCATGAAAACCACTGGCTGCCACAGAACTCACTGTGAGGGTCCTACCTTCGTTCTCAGCCTCCTGGGAGAGGGAGAAGGATTTCACATTCTGGGGGGCCCAATAGTAATGGGATATCCATTGGTTTTCTGAATCCTTCTTCTCCGAGGTAGACAGGTGGACATTGACCTTCAAAGAGAAAAGGGTCCCTCCAACTACCTCCACCCGCCAAGAGGGTGATCCAGAAGATGGCAGCAGCAGCCACACAGGCAGGGAGGAATAGGAGAGATAGAAACACGACTCAGGACCCAGCACCACCATAAGGCCAGGTTGGGTTCATCTCATTGATGACTTGGCTACCCCTTCTGGGTGCCAGTACAGTACCCTCCTTCTGCTGTAGAGCCAAGCAATCTGGAACAAGGCTTCAGGAGCAGATGGCCTAGGTTCAAGGGCAGGGAAAGAGCCAAGCCTGGAGAAGAGTGCCACAGAGCCCATCACCCCGAAAGGTTTGCTTAGCACCCTCCTAAACCTCGCCCAACCTCCCCATCAAAGCTCTCTTCCTGGAGCAGAGAACAATTCAGGCCACCTCTTACCCTCTCAGCCCTGTGCTGAGGCTCTCCCTCCCATCTCCTCTCTTGACCACCTCTTACCTTCCCCCCACCACCATTTTCTCCGACCCCTGTAGGGCCACTAGTAATCCATAAGGCACCTTTGTGAAAATTAAAAAAAGATGTCTCCTTCCTCAAGTCATTTGCCTGCCATCTGCTGGAAATTTGGCTTAATACATACACAAACCCATGATAGGATCGTGTGCAGTTCTTGTGCAATGTACAACCTATTCAACTGTATACAGCAGCTCTCCACACTGCATCTGAATCCCTCCCTCATTTTTTTTTCTCCTGGACAGCAAGCCTTAAATGATTAATTGATACTTATATCTAAACTTTATTGAGTGCTTACTCTGTACTATGGACAATGGTAAGTCCTCTCTATGCATTAGTTCATTTAATCCTTACAACTCCCCACTCCCAAGAAGTAAGGGCCATCATTACCCCCATTTTATAGATGAAGAATGTAAACTGGAGAGAAATTAAATATCTTTCTCTGGTCACCCAACAAGAAAGTATCAGAGTCAGGATCTGAATGAAGGCTCACCTCCAGAAATCAAGCTCTTGGCTGCCAATTTCCAGCACTCTAGTGCCCCCACCACCATCACCCAGCTGAGACCCACAAGGTCTAATTTCCAATAAGCTCAGTGAATTCCTTCTCCTCAGGAGCTGGAGGAGGCAGAGAGGCTCAGTAAGCATTATAGCTTAGGATAATTTTTCCTGTCCAAATGATTTGCCAAATGATGGAATGAATGATCTCTTTTCCTTTCCAGTGCAGCTAAAAGGTGTTCGGGAAAAATGGGCTCGGGACCCCCAGCTGCAGCCGCTGAGCCTGAGTGTGGGGAAGCTGGTGGAAAAACTAGCACCTCTCCTTCACAGATCCATTTTCCACCTCGAGCTGAGCGACCCTAAGTACCTAAGAGGTAATAGCAGGGGTGGGGGGTGGGGATCTCATTTCTTCAAGAACACAGCAGCTGGGGGTGCTCCTCCCAGTGTAAGGGATGGTCTGGGACAACCTGTAACCAATTGGGTCCTGTGGGCGAAGCACACCGCAGGCTGACCCTGAGGAATGTTTGGGCATCCTTGACTGGGTTGAGATGACCTCTCCCACCCACACAGGGAGTGGCGCAGTGAGGGCTGAGAGTAGGGAACATGTCCCCCCTCATTTGTTTAGCTCCCCCCAGGCTTGGGAGCCTTCATCCTAGACCGGAGGGGAGGGTCTGGTCTGTCCCAGAGAGTGGGATACCTAAAAGGTAATTCAGCCCTTTGTGCTGCAAATATTAGCCTCTCGCTAGTATCTCTCTTGTGCCTTATAATGCTAAGAGTCTCTGACCCACCCTATAAACCTGGAGTGAATAATTGCTGGGGGTGGTGGAGGGGGGCAGCCCCTCATACTTGTCCAGTCCTGCCTCCCAGGCTCCCAGCTCCCAGTCAGAGGTGGGAGTGAGTGGGGGGGGGTAATTGGCCAGTCCTCCCTTCCTTCTCAAAGTCCTGTTGCATGTGACCATACCCAGCCCTCTCTACCTCCAACATCCAGGTTCCCCACCCTCTCCCAGGCCTGGCCCTTGGGACTATCCTAACCTGTGTCATCCTCAAGAAGCCCTAAGCTGGGCATCTTTTTGTAAGAGCTCCACTTTCTAACCAAACCAAAGGAGTCAACTAACCCTTTTCATGTGTCTCAAACTTCCAGGGGATGCAGTAGATTTGGTCAAAGCCTGTCCCAACACTATTCCTATAGATTAAAAAAAAAAGCGTTTCCTGAGTGTTTCAAACACAATGTGCAACCAGCAGACAAGGTTCAAAGCCCTAAGCAGGCACTTGTGTGTGGTCAGGGGTAACGGGGGTGGGACACCTAGTTGCTTGGCTTGGAGTTACAGGAACCTGGGGGCAGCAAGGTAGGGGATGGCCCACTGCCTCTAGGTGTTTTCCCCCACCCCCACCTCTCTGCCAGAGTTCCAATCAACCATCCAGCCTGGGTTTTGGAAGCTTCCGCGTGCCTGGACCTGCACAGATGCCTCCATGGTCTACCCCACTTTTGAGACTCAGGACTCCTTCTCAGAGGAAAGCAGTGACTCGTGTCTGGTGCAGCTGCTGGGAACAGGGTGGGCCTCCTGTACTTGCCCTGCTTCCAAAAAACCCAAAAGTACTTGCTCTTTGCTTGTCCTCTCATTCCACGCACTCTCCCAGTCCCCAAGGGTCTGTGTGAAACCAGGTACAGCCACCCCCCACCCCAGACACCAACCTCTCCCACCCCCCATGGCACCTGAGCTGGCCCCCACTGTCCACTCAATACTTCACACCTGGTCCAAACATGCACCTCACCCCACTCCACACCCAACCCGTCTCCCATATCAGAGCAATCCTTTCAAAAACCACATTTGAACCTCCTGCCTGCTGTGTGATGCTTCCTATTGTTCTCAGAACAAAGCCCCAAGTCCTACTGCCCTTCCAGGTCTCCATGTTTCTCTAGTACAGCCCCTGGGGCTCGTGTCAGACTCTCACTGTCAGACAGACAGTGCCTACTCTGTCCCACTTCTAAACCCGCGCCTGTGCCCATCTGGCCTCTGTGGGCCTCTCCCACCCTGCCCCACCCCTCCCCCATGCCTAAGTAACTCTGCTCATACTTTAGGGCCACCCCCAGCATCCTTCCTCCAGAACCTTCCCTGACCTCACTGTACAAGCTGACCTCCCGTGGTGGGCTGGCTCTCTTAGCACCACTGGTAGCCATAGGTGCAATTTACATTTGTCTTATGGTTCTGCCCCTCTCACTGGGCTGTAGGTCTCCGAAAGCAGGACTGGATCCCAGTTAACTTACCATTTTATCTGGCTGTGCAATGGGCTCGTGAGCTTGGAGCAAGCCCTGAATCAGCCTGAGGTTCAGGGATCTGCTGTTTAGGGCAGGGTGGAAAGGTTGTACTTGGGGGTTCCAAGGTGCAATAGGAAGTTGCAGCCTCCTGGAGCTCCTCCAACCCAGGGTAACTCCGGTGTCACCTCCCCTGTGCTGGGATACTGATTTAGCAAATCAAGTCACAGTACACCTATGCTTTATCCAGCAACCCCTTGTGCACAGCTGGGTGCCTGGAAACTACCGGAGTTCTAATAGCTAGTGGGGGAATAGGGACCAGGGAAGTCTCCATGTCCCCAGGCTTCCTTTAGGACACCCTTTCTCTAGGGCCTGAACCACTTTTCCCCCAGGACCGACGGTGGCCAGCCCTGCAGGCTCTCAGACTTCTGCAGGACCCTCATGACCAAGCCCGGCTGCTCAGGCTATTGCCTGTCTCACCAGCTGCTCTTTTTCCTCTCAGCCAGATTGGTGAGTGCCCATGTGGGCTAGCCACACACTCAGAGGGGGAAAAAAAGGTAAAGAGGGGCTGGGGGACCTGGGTGCGCAGTCGGTTAGGTGTCTGACTCTTGATCTCGGCTTGGGTCATGATCTCACCGTTCATGAAGTTCGTGAGTTCAATCCCTGCATCGGGCTCTGCATTGACGCTGCAGGTCCTGCTTGGGATTATCTCTCCTTCTCTCTGACCCTCCCGCACTTGTGTTTTCTCTCTCTCTCTCTCATTCTCTCTCTCTCTCTCAAACTAAATAAACAAACTTTAAAAAATGTTTTTAAAAGAAGAAAGGTAAAGAGGGCCTTTGGCAGCATGGTTTTATATGGTACCTACCAGGAAAATAAGCAGGTTTTTGGACTTGTGCTTTGGGCATTGGAATTCGAGCCCTACATCAGGCTCTGCGTTGACAGCATGGAGCCTGCTTGGGATTCTCTGTCTCCCTCTCTCTCTGCCCATTCCCCGCTCATGCTCTCACTCTCTCTCTCACTCCCAAAATAAATAAATATTTAAAAAAAGAAAAAAAGAGTAGCTTACCATC